ATAACTTTAGGATTATATTGCGCGCCCATGTTGGTAGACGTGTAGACAAAGATAGCAATGTGTAGAACTTTCCTCTCTTTCTAAAGTTTCAGTGATGTTCGCTATTTATATAAATTCAAAATCCTTTTCGCGAGATTTTTGCGACATTATAATTCTTTTGAAAAAATCAAGTCCTCTATGCCGATAAAGTAGAAATTTAGAAATTTAAAATGTCAATTTATTGTTGTTCAAAACTTCTAGTGTATTTATATTTTCTTTTTTACTCTTCCATCATACTACTTATTAGTTTATGATCCGCACTAAATAGATAATTACGTTGAATTTTTAGGCACTAGTGCGCGAAAGTAGATAGTCAATTGTAAAATTGACGTTCCCGACGTTCGTGTTTTATTGGGAAAACGCGATTTAGAACGAAGGAGTGCTTTTCAGAGGTGCCTCTACAGAAGGTTTTATACTACTCCTGTATTTACCTTATGAATTAGGAATATTACACATTCTTTGTCTACGATCCTTTCGGATGTAGTCCCGCGTATGGTTCCATAGAATTTTCAGTCATAGAAAAAGCTGTATCTATCTACAAGAAAAATGTAAAGAAATTTACCGCACTCGATTTTCTATGTCTCTCGGATGGGGTACCCTCAATTTGTTCTCCTGAATCATCATATTTAGACTACAATTATTCATTACGTCACCGTCTGAAATTCTTCCTTGAGCGCCAATGTTTGCATACAAAAAATTATAGTCTGCATCTACTAAAGCAAGTAATACAATGCTGAAATGTGACATAATATTATAAAACTCTGTTCCATGTTAAATGGGCACTGGATTAAAATATGCTTTCCGTCCAATGCTTGAATTCCACGAGGAAAATTCCACAGTTTGTTGAAATTATTTTCTATCTTCATCTACTCTTCGGAACTGGTTGGAATCTGAAAATTAATCTTATGCAATTCTTTTAGGATGTAACAATGAAGCTAGCACTGCAGATGAAATCACTGAAGAAAATACAATGTCACAACCACCGCGAAAGAAATCAAAACCAGACCCGAAGTTGCAAATGCTTAAGGAGGCTTTTGGCATATTAAAATCCGAGTTAAAATCTTCTGCTGAAAAATCAGCACCCTCACAAGAAAATCCGATATTAAGATCATTTTGTGATTTCATTTTTCAAAAGCTTAACAATTTCAACATGCATACCATCACTTTGGTACAGCAAATATATTCAAGTTATTTTTCGAGCAGACCAAGGGTATTATTGTTCTGCGCAACAAGTCGGTTCTCAACCCACCATTTACCAACAAACGTACGCTCATTCGCTAGGTCATCCAGTTCACAACTACAGTAGTTACCAACAAAGGCCCACTACATCCTCAACAAGCTTAACATCCTCTCCACTTGGAAGCCCACAAACAAACGCATCTCGCTCTCCGCATTCAGACTCAGAATTAGGTCAACAACACACCCATTGACAGAGAGGGAAACCGGGGCAGGTTGTCACAATTTAGGTTTTTTAATTTTTTGAGAAGAAGGGGTAAAAGTTTCCCTTGTTATGATTAGTATATCTTGTAATGCGTTTCTTTGGCTACATTTTCCCTAATCTTTAAGACCGTAGCAAGAAGAGACTATTCAGGAAAAAACAAATTTATCAAGCAAAATTTTGTGACAACCTGCCCCGTCACCGGGTTGGTTGTCACAGGCATTGGGGTTGGTTGTCACGGATTATTCATACTTGGAAAAAATTTTTTTTAATTTGAAAAACATTGTGTTAGGAACAGAAAAGTAAAAAAAGATATATATGTCGCTAATACAAATTTTACACAAATTCAAACACTTAAATATTACCTAATTTAAGTAAATATGGATAAGTTAATGATAATAAAAAGCATTAGCCGAATCACTTTCGAGCGCACTGTCACAATTTTGACATGTATAAAAGTTATTATGGCCGGGGGTGCATAATTCATGCGCCCATCCCTTAAATTCCAATACACTGGATCCATTTTTCCTTTGCCTTACTAATACAAAATGGTTCAATACAAACTAAACAAAAACAGTCATCCTTTTCTTCGCTGCTGGAAACTTGTCGTTCCTTCCTCTTTGTAATTCCTTTCTTATTTTTTGCATTCTTTTTATTTTCTGTAATTCTGTCGAACAAATCTCGCTTTGGCTTATTTTTACTGGCTTTTGCAGCCTCTTCTTCAGAATTACCGGATTTTTTGCGACCTTCGATGTTTAAAATGACTGGTCTACAACTGGTAAGTCTAAAAACTATCAGAGCCTTAAAGTGGTAGTTATTACAACCTCTCAAAATTTTAAATCGACAAAATCATTTAAATAACTGTTCAACTGCGGAGGAATGAACTTCATGTAGGTGCTGAATCAGTTCTTCGTCGTTTGGTCATTCCGTGGTTGTTACAACTCGATCTGCTTCATTTGCTACGGTGTATTGGGTAACCTATCCAAAATAGTTATTATTTTATATTACCTACCTATTATAAAAATAGCTACCTCATCCTGTTTTTCGATTTCTTCCTCCATGTCATTATACAAATTCTTCCGGGCATCTGGTCCAAATGCTATTTCGGCATATAATTTCATGTCCCCAATAGTTAGTCGAGGGGATGTTGGAAAAATGTTAACAAATTTATTTTGTATGGCACATAGATGCTTGCACAATCTCCCTCCTTGTCCGTGGACGCAATCGTAAAACCCAACATCCAAATGAACAGTATAGAAAAGATCATTTTCAGAAGTTACCAAACACGTTCCTTCTTCTACCAACAATAATGCAGATGATTTTAACATGCGTCTAAAGCTAAACGCTTGTGGCGGCACGCGCACCAAAGCGCCGAAAAGAAACCATCCCAAGTGCGCGCGTCTGCAAAATGCAACTGTTTTGTGATCTTAAATGTAAACTACTTAATACCCTAAAACTAAGGACTTTTATTGCACCCATATGGGAGGCAATACTAGCGCAAAGGACTGCATACAAGCGGCTCCTTTGCCTAGTAACGTATTACATAATTGAAATTAAAAATTGTCTATAACAATTCTGAAACAAAAAAAATGCTTGAAACTTATTCTAACTTAACGTATATTTGTTTTTCAACAGATAAACATTAATATCGTAAAAAACACAATATTCTGTTCAGCACGAAACAAAAAAACCTAAATGTTATGTTATGCACTACACGCTTTAACGTATTTCCATTTGAAACTCTTACCGTAGCTGATCTGATGATACCGTCGGGGGCTCTGTGTATTTCGACGTCCCTGCCAAGACTCCAAGATAGAGGAGGTGAGTTGTCTTCTTGGATGCGTACTAAAGAATCGATTTGGAGCAGATCTTGCATAATTTGGCACCATTTGGTTCTTCGCTGTAA